TATATATGTGCATATATGTGTTATATATGTGTATGTATATATATGTGTATGTTATTTTGTGTAATAGTATTGTTTTCATATGCTTTGTCAATAAGATTTTTTTCTTAGACAATAAAGTACAGTGATTGATTGATTTTTTGAAGCCAGTGGAAAAGATAACAGTCATCATGTCCAGTGAAATATACCAAAGTGTATTCATTTGGTATCACTTATAGAATATTTACAACATTCTCTAAATACTATGACGATTAAGAGCATTTGAGATGAGTTTATTATTGAAAATAATCATTAGAAGAAAAATTTTCAGATTGTAACTAAGGTAACAAGAGATATTAAGAGAAATCAATCACAACCTGAGTTGAGCAACCTCCTCTTTCATTTCGAAACTAAACTGACAGAGAAAACTTCAAGTCAACAAGCACAGTAATTTTAATGTCTAGGCAATATTGCCTCACTTTCATCATAAAAGAACTGCAGACTTTAGGAAGAGCCAGTGGACTTTAGGAAGAAACATTTTTTCTGAACATTATAAATTGGTCATGAAATATTTAAGCATACCAGCCACACCAGTGCTCTAAGGTTGAGAAGTGACCAAAGGTAGAAGAAATCGTTTTTCATCAAAACACTTTGATAAAATTCTATTTTTGAATAGTCATATTTTGAAGGCATCCAAGTGGATACTGCATTCTTATTGATTTAATTTCTTTGTCAATCTCGCACTTTTGCCAACGTAACACAAAATTATTAATTCCGTCAGCATTAAAATTGTTCGTTCGGGATTCGATGAAGTCGACGAATACCGTTTTTGCCTGGTCCTGATTGGCGAAGATTCTACCGCTAAAAAAGTTATAGAAGTACTTGAAAAGATGGAGTCAGCGGTTGGATGGGGAGTATGGAGAACGAGGCAGAACTTTGAAACTCAATTCGTTTAATTTTCGGACGATGATTTGTGAAAAGTGTAGATGGGGCTTGTCGTAGAGCAGGATCTGACCTCTTCTTTTGACAGTGCCGCCTGCTGACACAATTTTCGTTACATTTCCTCACAATGGGTTTGGCCTAGTTGCAGGAAGTTATAGTGAATCACACCAGCCGCTGACTACCATACAGTAACTATGGTCTTTTTTGGTGCCTGGGTGGCTCATCAATGTCAAACCAGCGTCCTGAACGTGTCCTGTTGTCGTAGAGGATCCACTTTTCATCACATGTGACAATCGGATTTAAAAAAAGGACCGTTTTGGCGGCGCAAACGCAAAGAACAACATACTTCGAGGATATAATATCCGGAACGAAATTTCACAAACCAACGTAGAATAGTGCGTTCATGAACACGCCCGTTGCCAAATGCCAGGTTAATTTTTCATCAATTGTACGAGTATATTGTATAAAATTCTCGATCAGTAAATACCACGACACTGTAGAATAAATATTTATTGAGATATGGAGCAACAAAAACACATGACATTAAAACCGAAAAGGCTTTTAAAATAACCTAATAGTTAATCGTTTTGTGTTCGTATCTAATACATAAAAATGGATGTTTGTTGGTTGGTAAGTGATAAACTTCTACATCGCTCAATCGATCGTGATGAAACTTTACATGTATAAGTCATTTTTCATAGAGAAGGTTTTTATGCTATCAATTTTTCTGTAACTCGCCACTAGATGGCGCTGTAGAACAATTTTTTGAAAGCACTGTTCTATAACGCTGCACGCCTAAGTTCGCTGATTCTGTCAAAACATTGGAACAGCAGCGATACAGCAATATAGTACTAGTACTATATAGACACGCCTGAATACGTTATGTATTTTTATCAAGTATCGACCGATTTCATCACACCTTGAATAAATATAAAATCTTAATATCTGAAAATTGGTTTTACTTACTGTTTTGTAGTCCTATCTTGATCATCAGTAATGCGACTAATGCAATTTGAATCAACACTTGCTTCAACGGTTTTTTCAGACCGATTTTTTGCATGATCATTTTTAAATACTTCATGTCTTTGCAATAACTTCCAAATTTTGTTGTCTAACACATCAGACTTCCCTTTTTCGTGAGTTAACGCCGACACTTTCAATTTGCTCCAATATGCATATGCCTTGTCGTACTGCCAGTAAGGTAACTTGATAATCACCCTTCGAATAATTGAGCACCATAGACCTTTACTAATTTTTTCTTCATCTTTACAAGCATCATATTCTTTAATTATTGCATTGACCAATTGTAATTTTTCATCAAGAGAGACAGAATGCCTTTCTTTAACAGGACTGACGGAATTTGTCTCTTTATCACCAAATTTTTTGGGCCTTCCTCTTGTTCTGGGTACCTTATTTATCGTTATTTTTCCTTGGTTTGCAACACTTCTGAAATAAATGAACCTATTTTATTCATCTTCATGATGCTGTATATTGAAATTAAATATATTTTTTTCAACATGATAGCATTCATGATTAAAAAACAGATTAGAGGGTATCTATATATATATATTATTAAACAATTATTGAGACCCATAACCTGTTCTCGCATTTTTCCATAGGAATTAAAAAAAATTATTATAAAACATGATACAGTAAGAGGCTGCAATTTTTTTCTATGCGAAACTTTTTTTGCCCTAATTTGAATATTGAAAGGTTTGGAGAATTTTTTACTGACATGAATGACTGATTAATACGAAATTTTGTGGATCTGCACATGTAGTTGTGATTGCAACACTTGAAACTACTATGAACGATACATATACTTATATATCTATATAACATGCATGATATAGTAGAAAAACACTGATAATTTTAGAGGTTTCTAATGTGATATAAATAAAGACGAACAAAGAGATCAAAATAATGCCCTACAGTATTGTACACCTAAAAGGTCTACAAAAAAGCCCGCGGTGGTGTGACTATCTCTTAGGGATAATCCACAATAACCATTTTTTATCCTTTGTTTTTTACGAGAAATAATGGCTTATTAAACTTGTTTAAACAGTTCAATCTTCCTTTTGAAGATGATCACTTGGTGATTGAAATACGTGTCGACATGTTAAAAATAACAGTTTGGTGTTGGGATAAAACTCCAGTAATATTCACTCTCATTTATTCTGTAAATAGTTACATTACATTCCATTCGAACACATTACATTTGAATCATCCATCTTTGATATCTGGCAAACTAAATATACCAGTATGCGGAATATTAGACATCATTTCCAATTTAAGGTTAAAATAATGATTACAATATAAAAATGTTTAACAATGAAATATGACAGTTTATAAGTTGTGGAAACAACTATTTGTGCAGTATAAAAGAGTTGAAATCATAGAAACTTTTCCATTAACAACAAACTCTTAAATAACAGTAATAAGTCGTCAATATAAGAAACTGTAGTAGTACTAATGTTTGTGATCTATTGTCTATCTATTATACAAACAAGAGCTTTGTGATTGAATGCAAATGGTTTGAGCTGGCATATTGCAATGAAAAGGGGAGAAAAGAACAGAAAGGGAGAAAAAAAAACGTTACCTATTTTTCATTTATTATAAACGTACGTTTTATCGAGAATTTTTTTTTATTGTGCATGCATCTTTCGTTGCTCTAAGCGACGTTACTTTGATATTCTCTTAACAATGTAAGGGTTAGTATGCATATGTGTATCCAACTGAAAACTTGGATATTTAAACTCTTCAACAAATTGAATTCCCTGATTTCAACAAAGTGTGAAATAAAAGTATTATTTGACTGTTTATATATTATGGTATCGTTAAAATCATGCCTTTAGTTTTTGCAACGTTCAACTCAAAATTGTTAGTAGAGAAATAACATACTGTAAGAAACCACTATCGACATGGTGGAAAAAAACGTGGGGCCCGAGAGATTGGATGGGAATTAGTCAGTCAACTCGAGCGAGTCAGGCGAGAGCATTGTTATTCATTTAGTTGTTTATATCCAGATAGGAAAAGGGGTGATGGTTTAATCATTAAGTTCAATAGTAAATTGATGTATCTTTGTGTAAAATATATTTTATATGATTAATTTATCTGCTTTTCTTATAATACTAATTCATTAATGCATCTTATTTATAGCTGTACTCAAATGTTTTATGTGTTATAGATAGCACCAGGCAGATAAAGCTGTCTTCAGTGATATCTCTAACCCGAGATGGCGTGAACGAAACCACAAAGTGCGGCTGATTTCTGTTGATGTAAGTGAATTTTTTCAATTCAGTTATAAGATAGATACATATTCGTCTATGACAGCTTGTCAAGTAATGATGCGTCGTACGTTCCTGTAATGATTTCTCCATCACTTTCCCAGCACAAAAAAATGTTTGCTTTTTTTTTGGAGCCGATTCCTTCTTTGCAGTCCACCTTTTGCATTTTGTGTTTTGGGCGTATAATGGTGTATCCAAGTTTCATCTACAGCAATTAATCGGCGCCAAAATTCGAATTTATTGCGAACACGTTTTTAATCTAACGTGAGCAAACGCGGCACCCAAGGCGCGGACAGTTTTCTCATGCCTAAGTTCTTCTAGACACGTTCATAACCTCTGCTATCTCTCTTACTTTAATTCGGTGGTTGCCTAGCACTCAATGGTGAACTTTGGCAATGTTTTCGTCGGTAGTTGCAGTTTTTTAAAATATAAATATTAGCATATTCAGTATTAATCCTTTGTTTAGCAGACATAAGAGACAGTGTTTCCAACATGTATTTCACAGATATGCCGTGACTTACTATTGCCCTCATGGATCTGTTTTGAAGCTCTGAAACAGAGCAATGTACTGCAATAGTCAAAGTGGGGTGCTATCATTGATTTATATATTGTTAAGTTTGCATATTCAATTATTTATTTTTCAATCTATATAAAATATGAGTTTACGTGGCTATTTTCTTCTGAATATAACTACAGAGCACATTAAGGTTCAATTCTTGATCTAATATCACTCCCAGATATATGAAAGTTGCAACACTCTCAATGATGACATTATTAATATAAATATTCAATGACAGCTGTTCATATTGCAGTTGTCTTAAACGAAATTTGCTATCTATTGACATGAATTTTGTTTTATTAACATTTAATTTGAGGCCGTTGTCACATAATCACTCCTTTATATTTGACAAGGAACTGTCATTCAAGGTGTCCCAGAACAATACAACATAGTATCGTAGGCAGTTTTATCTTACACCTTCTAACATGCATCACGATGTCACTCATGTACAGCAAGAATAGCAGTGGACCCAATACTGACCCTTGAGGGACTCCTGAAATTACATTTGAAGTACTGGATGTCACTTGATTATATTTAACCAGCTGCTTCCGATATGCGAGGTGATTAGTGAACCATTTTAATACTTTATAATCTAGTCCATACTTATTCAATTTCATTAAACGTAACTCAATGTTGACCGTCTCAAATGCTCTTTTGAAATCCAGAAAAAGAACACCTATAATACGTTTTTTAGATAGGTCAACTTTCCATGAAGAGATTAGAAATTGCAGTCCAGTTTCACATGAATGGGATTGACTAAATCCAGATAAATTTCATCAATTGATCTTTCACTGTGATTTCCAATATTTTCTCATAAATTGGTAGGGTATTTATGGGCCTTAAGTCAGATCCTAAAAAGGATGATCTGAATCATCATTTGCAGAGACTCGGACTGTCGGAAATGATGAAACAGTTGAGCACACACTTTGTGCCTGCCCCGATGGGGACCGAATCAGGGTTTTAGAGTTCGGCAGAGCCGTACTCTTACCATCTGACCTGAAAGACCACTTACCATACAAACTAATCGGCTTCGTTAAGAAGCTGGGTTTATTTGGTCGAGAGTGAATCGGCGTGAGCCACAATAAACCCTTGAGGGTTGTGGTGGAGGGTCGAATAGACCCACTCACTTTGGATCTAATCTAACCTAACAGTTTCATATGAATGGGTTGCCTAAATCCAGACAATATTTTCCCATAAATTGGTAAGGTATTTATGGGCCTGAAATCAGATTATAAAAAAGGTGTTTGTAATTTTCTCAATAGGAACAATGGTGGCAATTTTCCAACCGTCAGTGGTCCCAAGCCGAGATCTTGCACAGAGAGGAACATTGGTTTAGGAGAAAATTCAAGGAAGCCGCATACATGTTGTCCAACAACGTATTCAGACAAGCCAGCGTAGAAATACGCAACATAATAGTAGACAATGGAAGTCCGAACTAGTGAAATTCATCATGAAACATTGTCAGTCACCTTCAAACGAACGTCAGGAAATGTTTCAGTGGTTAGGTTAGGAATCACACGTTAAAAGGTAAGTCCTCGTTAGTCCTTAGCTCGCACAAGTTTCGACTTCTGAGGGTTGTCGTTCGTAGGGGTGCAATAGTTGATTAACAAAAAGAACATATTTATAAATTTATCAAGTCCAAAAACCGATTTCCCAGTATTTCAAATGTTAACTTAATTATATTCAGATTAATTACATTATCATCTGTATTATTTTTTTTGAGGGTAAACATTTTTATACACCCCCAGTCCTTGTCATAGGTTGTCACATTATTAGAACCCCCCCTGATGTGACGTCACACATTTTTCAAACTTATGCATGTATTTGAAAATAATCTAAAGAAAGTCAATTCTCAAGTAAACAATAGCAATGTATTGAAGTCACTGCGCCGGAGGGTGTGGTGGAACTTGTCGAAGGTCTCGCAAACAACCGACGCGCGGAATAGTAGAAAAGCGAGGAAGCAATTGCCGACGACTTAAACCTATTTAAATCCTTATCATTCAGAACTCTTGTGAATTTTGGTGTCTCACATGCATTACAACGCCGCTTTAGAAGTTAAATATTGTTGTGTGAGAGATTATTTCATAGCGAGAGTGCTAAATTATTAATAAATATAGATCAAGTTCGAAATTTTTTCGAATGTTTTATTCACATATAAATTTCATGTTTTGGTATTTTAAATTTTAACATGTGACCTCACAAAGCTTATGACCCCCCCCTGCCCCTACGTGTGACGCAATTTATGGATGGCCCCTATTCAATGTTTCAAATTCCCCAAGTATCTCATTTGTTGGTATAATATAACTAATAACATGACTATAATCATTTATTGGTACTATACTGTCGGTAAGGTCTTTCAAACTTCCAAAGAAAAATTGATTTGAATATCCTGCTACTTTTGCTTAATTTGTTATGAGAACACTATCAAATGTTATACCTTTGAACTCTTGTTTTCTAATTCCTTTTACTAAACCTTTCAGTGCTTTCCACATAGCCGTACTGTTTCCTTTATTTTCATCGATCTTTGATTCATAAAACTTCTTAGTTTCAATTCGTATATTTTTGGTAACAAAATTACGACATATTTCATATTTATCCCATTCACATTGTAGTTTGGTTTCCTTGGCTTTTTTATGAAGAAAATCGCGTTTTTTAGATCTGTCATGATTTCGTATATAAACCACACTTTCAATTTGAATGTAATGAAATAATGCTTCCTTTTGGATGGTGCATGTGTCTCTAAGCATATAATAATATTATTGATGAATAAATTGGATATTGTCAGTAATATCATTAGTCCATAACGTATTCATTAGGAAGAGTTGGAATTGAATTTCATCAAACTATTTATAATCTCTCCTACTTATACTAGTGGAAGTTGATTTATTATGAAATACATTACCTACCTAAGGATATTAAAATATTACAATGATCTGAAACACTTTGAAGATGAGATACTTCAAATTGCAACAACTTATTACTTCATTCCATCGTCTAGTAGGCGTAACATTTCCAAGATGTTCTGAATCCATGAATAATTCAAATGGAACACCCTGTATTTTAGAAAAGTTTTGAAATTCTGAGATTATTTTGACTCAAGTTAGAACTGGAGGTGTTTGAAAAATGCCATTATTTTCATTAGATTAAGCACATTAAAACCCTACAGGATATGAATCCTACTATTTCCCAAAATACGGCTAACTGACGGCCATCGCGCTGTACCCTATACAACAAATAGGGGCAAAATCCAATCCTCAATCAGATGAAAGTATAAAAGTAATGAGGGAGGTGGTGGACATGGCACAGTTAATTCAAACACTAAGACAAAGTTCTTTCGACCTAGAAACCATTATTTTTGAACGATAAAATGAGAATTCCTTGGATAAGTGAATATGTAATGAAGGGTACTTACTTTCCACCAGCTTTGATATTCATGTCAAGCTGCGATGTTTTATGAATGTTTGATTCTCTCTCCAACAAATCCAAAATTTTCTTTCCTATTGGAGTGACACTCATCGAAACTTTCTCTCGCAGAGCTTTATATTTTATTGAACTCCACATTCGGTACAGAAAAAGACCTGCAAATAAATGAAAATTTCCTTGATGTTTTTTAGACTTCTAATCTTCCATAATCTAAATGATAAATGAATATGGATCAACAGATATTCTGTAGAAGTGTAGTAAAAAATAAACTGAAAAGTTCAACCCAAAAATTTACTGCGTAATTTAAATTATAACCTATAAATAAACTTAATGATGTATCTTTTCCAATATGGCTGACAGTTCAAAATGCCTTTTTCCGTTTTCAAAACCTCAAAACCCTCTTTTGAGAATGTGTGTATGCAAAATAATAAAATGTCAAAATGTCATATTTGATAGACTTCTGGCCGGTAGCTAAAGCTGTTGATAAAAACTTTACAAAATCCGCAATTCCACCACTAACACAAGCGGAACAATTTGCGTCCCACTCCACAGTCTATTTATTAACTGGGAGGGGCACCTCCCACTATTCCCACACTAGTATCCACAATGCCGGAAATTACTTTTCGACAACGTCTGGTCAGGCCAATTTTGCAACAGCTCAATATCAACAAGCCTCTGGTCCTGATGAAGTGTCCGTCATCGTACTTAAAAAGTGCACAAATGTCTTACAAGAAAGGAGTTTTTCGTTCTTGTTGGAAGATTGCTCGCGTTTAGCCTATTCCAAAAAAGGGCAAGAAAAATCTTCTAAATAACTGTAGATCAGTCTCTTTCCTATCAGTGATATCAAAAATCATGGAGAAAGCCATAAACTTTAAATATTTGGAAGGCGTCAACATCTTGAGCGATCATCAATAGGGCTTTCAGAAACAAAGATCAACAGGCGACTTTCTATCGTATGTCACCCATATTTGGAATAACGCAATCGAGAAACATGGAGAGTCAAGAGCTGTTGCGCTCGATATTTCTAAGGCCTTTGACCGTATGTGACATGAGAGTTTGCTGGCCAAACTTCGATGCTATGGCTTGTCGGATCACTTTTGTGTATGGCTCTTCAGCTTCCTGAAAGAACGTCCCCTGCAAGTGGCAGTCGATGGATATCTCTCGAATACTTGTACCATCAACGCTGGTGTTTCACAAGGATCCATATCGTTTCAAACCCTTTTTTTATTGTATATCAACGACTTATTGGAAAAAACCAAGAATCCAATGAATTGCTTTACTGACAACAACAAACTTATCTCGTCATTCCATTTGGATTGCAGGACATCGGCTGTGCATGCAGTTCTTCACTGGCAGCAGGAGGTTGCATATCTTAATGGAGATCTAGAAATAATTTCGAATTGGGGTGAAAATAAGCAGGTTCCATTCCATGCCGGGAAAACCCAGGCATCGGTTTTCTCCAAAAAGATAAATGTCTCCGAAACAGATATAAAAATGTCAGGACAGACAATTTCGCTTTCTGCTTTGATAAGTTTCTTGGTGGAAAATTGACACCAATATGTTTTGGCACAATCACGTCGCTGGAATTGCAAAGGTTGCTTCTCAAAACCTTGGAACACTGTTTCGAACCAGGAAACTGCACACACCTAAGCAACTTTTAATGCTTTATAAAGTTCAGGACAGACCTTCTTTGGAGTATTGCTCTCATGTATGGAGCTCCGCCCCTAAGCATACCATGAAGCTGCTGGATTCCATCCAGAAAAGAGCCATCCGCATTATTGGAGACGCGAAAATCACTTGCAACCTTGACAGTCTGGAACATTGGAAGAAAGGTTGGGGAGTTGCCTCTCTTCTGAAGATACTTTCACGGGAAGTGTTCAAGTAACTTGGAACATTTGATTCTACCAAGAGTGGAACATACCAGAAATACGCAACGAACTGTGGCTGCTCATCGTTTTGAGGTTCAACTCAGTACACCTCAAACTTCACTGTTTAGGAACTCTTTCATTTGAAGAACTGCGCTCATGTGGAATAAACTTCCTGAGAACGTTTTTCCAAATGGATTCAATCTCCAGCAAATCAAATCCAATTTGAATCAGTACTTCCGCACAGGCACCATTCTTAGAGCTCCTCAAGATATTTGCAGAGAAATCAATTCAGGTTGATATTTTCGTCCTCAGCAATGGCAACCAGGTGCGATCATTTCCACACAGTGAGATGAAATGCGCTTGTTACCTGCCACATTGGAAAAACTACTCGTGTATTAAAAACTTCACTTTTTCAATCATTGAGTTTATTTATAGACAAACATTCATAAATTTAATAAGCTGCTAACTAATTAGACTCTTCATAGGTTATTAGTAGGTACACAGTAACTTTTCAGTTCACAGATTCTCTGTTGATCCATATTTATTTATTTTTCAGATTGTGGAAGATTAGAAATCCAAAAAACACCAAGGAACATTAGCTCCACAACCAACAGATTATGGCTTTCAAAGAATAAATGAAGAGTATTTCAAACATGACATAATAAAAAACTTTTCACTGTTAAAATAAATACCATCACACTCCTGATAACCCCTACTATGAGCCAATTTCATGCAAATTGTTCTCCAAGGTCCATGTCCAATGCGCAGCTTTGATAAATTTCTTTTAGTTGTATACTCATTGTATTCTTTTACGAGACGGTTTATAAAATTGAGTTTCATTTCCTCTGACCACATTTGTGGATTATTGCCATTACTCTGCGAATTTGATTTGTTAGCGATTGATACGCTTTTCTTTTGACTATCCACATCAGATATTACCTTAATAATTGAGCTGAAAACAAAATAAAAACCCTTATGTCAGAACAAACTGTAAGGAAAAATCACTTCTGGTTGTGCACAAGTCTTATTATTTTTTAAAATTTCTCATTGACTCGGCCATTACTTGATGAAGATCCATAGTAATTTCATAAACTACACCTTTGGATTTAATCTTCACAAACTTTATTATCAAAATATATCATTGCGACATGTTTTGCTATCAAAGTAGCTTTTTCCTAGTGAATAATACTGAGAGTTAATTCTTTTACTATAATTTTTATTTATGAGAGATACCTACTCAGGTACAGCTTGTCAAATGTAGGAAGAGCTCTCTGAATTCTGTTACGGTCCCGCCCACTAGATGTGCGTTAGTTAGAAGACTATGAGAGCGAGAGAGAAAGAGAGAATTCACACGTGTCTTCCTAGATTTGATCAGCTGTACTTCTCTCAAAGAAATACTTGGATAGGTATCTCTGACTTATGATTACGTGGGGAATATAAAAATTATAGTAAAAGAACTAACTTTCAGTACGTTATTCACTACAAAAAAGCAACTGTGATAGCAAAACATGTCGTGATATATTTTGGTAATAAATTTGGAAAAGATCAAATCATAAGGTATAGTTTATGAAATTACAAGTCTTATAATGTTATTCATCTGCAGTTGTTATAGTTGAAAAAAACTATGCTGGAACAAGAGAATTGGACAATTGTCATGTTGATTTGTTTAATTTATGAATCTGATTGAAATCATTTCATAAACTACACCTTACGATTTGATCTCCACAAACTAATTTGAGAAATACGACGACATGTTTCGCTAACACAGTAGCTTCTTCAACAGTGATTTGAATCAATTCTAAAATTTATGACTCTTGAACAGGAACCGGAAGGAAACTTCATTTAAAACTGCCGTGAAAAACCAATGGGAATATTCCGTACTTCTTTCTCTAAAAATATATACTTATAAATGCGGAAGTTATTCACTCAACACTCACTCATTCACCTCTGTTTTTCCGTACTGGTATATCCTAGGAAGCTTAAATTTGGTATAGGGCTTCTTAGATCTTAGATGCGTACTAAGAAAGAATTTTCTTATATTATATTTGGGGATGGAAGGGGCGCGTTTACATATTATTATTAAAATTACCTTTTCATTGCTGTTTCTCTGTACTGTTATGTTATAGAAGGATGAAATTTTGTATATACCTAGGTTCGTTTTATATTGTAGAGGTGCAATAAGAAAGGATTTCTAAATATTCTAACTGGGGAGCTCCCACTGGGGATAAAAGAGACGCGTTTAAGTATGAAATTTCCTTTTCATCATTGTTTCTCCGTACCGCTATATTTTCGGAGGCTGAACATTTTTTAATATTCCACCTGGGGCGACAGCCGCGGGAAAAAGGGGCGTTCATAAAATAAAGTTACTTTTTCATTACTGTTTCTCCGTACCGCTATATTTTAATAATAATAAATGCTTTTACTGAAAGGTTACTCAGTACAAGGGATACTAATCTAACCTAACAAATGGCAGAATTCAACGTCTGCGCATGACGAATCAAGGCAGAAATTGCTCTTCCATCCAACCAGGCTGAAGTTTTTTATGTAGGTTCGTTTTATGTTGTAGATGTGCAATAAGGATTTATAATATTCCAATTGGGGCATCAGCCGGGGGAAAAAAGACGCGCCCATAACAAAATTGTCTTTTCATCATTGTTTCTCCATGCCCATAAATTTCCGGTGGGTGAATTTATATAGTATTACCACGCGTGCGAAGTCGGGGCCGATCGCTAGTAATTAATAATTGACTTCAAAATTACCGATTAATACTGAAAGTTACATTAGAAAGAAACTGATAGACCAATTGTGTAATTGAATCAAGCATTTTAGCGCCAGAGTGTGACGTCTTAGGATAAGATGCTAACGTTACCGTGTATCTATATATATAAAGCTCTGCTCCATGTGAAAAATAATGTACCCAATCTGAGAGATGAATCAATAGTTCATAACTATGCAACACGGAATAGACATTTATTAACTATCCCAAAACATAAAACATCGACATTCAAGGAATCACTTGCATATAATGGCATAATATTATTCAATACGTTGCCTCAAGATATTAAAGATTAGCATATTATACCATTTAAACGTTGTAGGCACAG